ATATTTAGTATTATCAATAGCAACCGTATCTAATCTCATAAATAAATATTGAAATAATAAAGATACAATTTTAATAATACCTGGAATGCTGTGTAAATAGCAAATTGCAGCTAACCAAATCAGACTATATATAGAAATGATGCTTTGCTATGAAGATAGAGTAGGAAACGATTGATTTTCAAGTGTTGCAGTACAATATGGAGATAGGAAAAGACCAAATCTGCTCAGAAATGACACATTAGGGAAATAATTTATTACCACATAATGGTTATAATATGTTAAAAATAAAATATAAGAAAGAAAATAAAACAAATGTATTTTAGAAATGACCTAATTATAGTAATATGCTACACACATATATTAAATCAGGAAAAAACTATAAGAAAAAAAGCAATCAAAACATATTTAGGAAAAAAAATAAAGTAAATAAAATGTAAAATAAAAAGAAATAAAGTTTTCAAAATAAAAAAATAAAAACAAATATGTATGATGTTAAAGGATATTATTATGTTAAAAACTATTGAATTGTATCAATTTTGGCTTTGCAGCAATTATTTGTACTAATACAAACCGATTTTTTTGTTCTTGTTTCGGGGCCAATAGTTTGGACTGTTATAACTCCTTTTTTTTATTGTTTTTATTTGTTATTTTGTTGGTTTTAATAGCTGATAAACGTTAAACAAAAAAAGAAATGTAATATAGTTATAAACAATAATATGTATCATTATACATGTATTAAAAGGAAGGAAAGCTATTATTGCTTCTTGAAAATAATTATAAGAGAATAAGGGAAAAAACTTTATATACAAATTTATGTCTCAATTACATCATAAATTTGGACTTTTGAGTTATTTCATGCCCCTGCAAGAAAATTTTTGGATTCCATATGTAATGTTTCCTCAAACAAACTTGTAGCTTATTTCCCGGCACATGGTAATGGATTCCGTCTGTAATGTTTCCTCAAACAAACTTGTAGCTTATTTCCCGGCACATGGTAAGAAAAAAAAAACAGCATTATAATCGTGAGATTTAAATTTTTGAATATAAAAAACAAAATTTTTTATAAAGAAAGACATTAATTTGAAGTAAAGCTTAGAACAATGTATAAATATAAAGTGTTAGTCAATGAAGAAAAAATAGCAGTGAATGAGCAAAGGTGGATTAGAAAGAAAGAAGAGTCAAGTACAGGCAACAAACATTAGTGAATGAAATATGAATAGCAGTGAATGATCAAAAGTCAACTGGAAGGGAAAAGTTGTCCAGCACAGGTAAGAAAAATAGGAAAGTACAAAATGAGGTTATATATATGACATCTAGTAATATACACGGCTGCCACCTATGTTATCAAGGAATTTATACCATAAGTAAGAAAATTGTATATACATTTGGTTCAGGTTATATTCATTCGTTGTGAAGAATATATACCATGAGTAATTGAAACAAAATATGACAATATACATGGCTACCAGCTGTATTATCAAGGAGTTTATGCCATAAGTGAGAGAGAATAGTATAGCTTAGAATAGCAATATACAGGATTACACATATACTAAGGAAAATAAAAGATTTCAGTGTGCACTAAAAAATTTAGAAAGATATAAGTTAAAACCATAACTTTAGTCGAGAATGGGCTAAATGGAAAAAATAGAGAAACACAGGAGAAACAAACAAAAGAATAAAATATAAAATCATACACAGAACCGGCAAAGAAAAAACAGAGGAATAAGTGATAGAGCAATATAAAAAAAATTAAGAATCAAACAGTTTGTACAATATACCTAGTTATACTAATATATCATATACATGAAATAAATCAGTGCACAGGAAAAAAAGAATTTTATATTATACTGTAAATTGAGTAAAGATTATAAATATATAAAGGAACATTTAGGAAAACATAACATTATATATAAATATTTGGTTCAGGTTATAATCATCTATTGTTAAGAACATATACTTTAAGTAATTGGATACATATTTAGCAATATATACGGCTGCCATCTACATTATTAAGGAGTTTATGCCATAAGTAAGAAAATTTAGTATACATTTGGTTCAGATTATATTCATTTGTTGTCAATATTATATACCATAAGTAATTGAAACAAAATCTGGCAATATACATGGGTACCAGCCACATTATTAAGGAGTTTATGAAAATAAAATATATTGGCATAACTCTGAAATAATAAGGGCAACATCAATGATAGCCATATCTGTAATAATAATTACTCAGCATATGTTAACAACAAATGATATATAACATCATCATAATCGGAGAAGAATAAAATGTTTGAATATAAGAAACCGAATTTTTGATAAATAAAGGCATTCGGTTGTAACAAAATTTAGAACATTGTGTAAATATCAAATGTCAGTTAATAAATTAAGAATAGCAGTAAATGACCAAAAATACAATGAAGAAGAAAAAGAGTGAACTGGAGAGGAAACAAACGGATATGTACAAAATAATATCATAGAAAAAATCAGCTTTTATAAATACAAATATATAATAAAACTAAAATAAAAGACAAATTAAAATATATTGGCATAAGTCCAAAGTAATAAGGGCAACATTAATGATAGCTACATCTGTAGTAACAATTACCCGGCACATATTAACAACAAATGAAATATAACATCATCATAACCAGAAGAGAATAAAATATTTGGATATTAAAAACTGAATTTTTGATAAAGATAAACATTATATCTTAATAAGATTTAGAAAACTTTGTAAATATAAAATCTCAGTTAATCAAATTAGAATAGAAATAAGTGACTGAGAGTAGAATAGAGAAGGAAAAAAGTGAAGTGCAGTATCAAACATTTCATATAACGAACAAACATAACATTATAAATTAATATTCTAGAACAAATCAACCAAAATAAATTGAAAAAGTGAATACCTGATTCAACGGACCACGTGCAAAATGATAGATCAAAGAAAGCAATGAAAATTACTGAGTAGCAGAGATAGAACAAAGAAATATAAAGGAGGCTGTAAGATTAGTAAGAAATGGGTAGTATTATTATGGTCTTTAAAGAGTGAAAAAGCAGAGAGAATAGAACGTGGTAGATAATATTAGTTGAAAAACGTAGACAAAGAAAGAGTAAAAAAGTAACATACAATATATATACAGAAAGTTACCAATGTTTTGCTTAATCTCGGATACAAATCCCTGCAAACAGAAAGCAATAGAAGTAATGATTAATTAACAACAGCCGTCACACTGCATGAAGAGCACCGCAAAATGTAACCAATAAATAACAGACAGTTATTTTTTAGTTACATATTATATAAAACAAAAAAATAAAAAATACACGTGTAAGAGTAAAAGATTAATATAAATATTATTACATTTAGATCACGATAAATATTAGACATTTGTTCAAATTAATACAAATAAATCAAGATATAGTATATAAAATATAAAAACAGGGACAAAAAAATAAATAACATGAATAAAAAAATATGAAATTATGAAAAAAAAAAAAATTTCTTCACAAATATAACAGTCGAATATTAAATAAGAAAAAACAAAACAACATGAAAAACGAACATAGATCTAAAATAAATTACCCAACATCCTAAAAAAAAATTAATAAAAACATAGGTCTGAAAAACATAAACGAACCCATAGAATCAAAACAAAAATAATCAACGAAATGAAAGACGAAGCTAACAAATAACGTAATGGAACAAAAAAATACCATGCATATACAACCAAAAGAAAAAAATAAAATATAAAACATCAAAAAAAAAATATATATATATATACAAAAAGAAAGAAGATGAAAAACGAATAAATCTGGCGAAGAAAAAAAAAGATCTAGAGGGTTGCAGAAAGAAGAAATATGAGAAATGAAGAAATTTGGCCAAAAATTTAGAAAAATAGACAGATCTAACAGGTTGTAGAAGAAAACAACGAAAGAGAAAAAAGTAGATCCAGAAACAAAGAAAGATAAACATAGATCTAGAAGATCGTAGAAACCAACGAACGGAAAAAAAAAAAAAAGATAATCCTATTCAATGTAAGTACGCAAAAATAAAATAGACAGATCTAAAAGGTTGCAAGAGGAAAAAAACGAAAGAGAAAAAAGTAGATCCGGAAACAAAGAAAGATAAACATAGATCTAGAAGATCGTAGAAACTAACGAACGAAAAAAAAAAGATAACCCTCTTCAATCTAAGTACGCAAAAATAAAAACAGATCTAGAAGGTTGCAGAAGAAAACAAACGGAAGAAAGGGAAAAAAAAAACCCCCAATTTGAGTGAAAAAAAAACCCGTAGAAGATTGCAGAACCAAAACAACGAAAGAGATAAATGTCGACATAAATAAAGAATGAAAAAATGGCCGAAATCAACAAACGAAAAAGGGAAAAAAAACTTAGGCTCAATCTCGAAGAAGAAGAATTCTAGAAGGTTACGGAAGAAAACAAATGAAGGAGAGAGAGAGACCACTACAGAAAGAAGTGAAGGAAATCAAATGAAAAATAAACAAACGAAATAAACTAAAAGCATCAGTAAATGACCAAAACAGTCACAGCAAATAGAAGCACAAAAATTTAAAATGAAGGGCAATATAATAATTTTATAAATAGGACATAACGGTAATTAAAATTTCAGAAGAAAAAAACACAACTAAAATAAAAAAAAAATATTATTCATTATACTATAATATAAATAGTAAATTCCGTCCTCTTTTTTAATATACGTATAAAATGGAAATAATGATACTACAACCTATAACGACGACGACGGCGACAACAATAACATCAATGATAATTAATAAATAATAATTATTATTCATTACACTATAATATAAATAGTAAATTCCGTCCTCTTTTTTAATATACGTATAAAATGGAAATAATGATACTACAACCTATAATGACGACGACGGCGACAACAATAACATCAATGATAATTAATAAATAATAATGATACTAATAAGTTTACAAGACAAAAAAAAAAAAAAAAAAAAAAAGGGAAAATAAAAAAGGGCAATGTTAAACAAATACAAAAGTCAAGCAAACGAGATCCTTTTCTCCCCCAACATTGTGTAACCCGTCTTCATCTCGATACTCCATAGTTCGACTTGGAGTCCGCAGCTTCCGATGCCGTTCCGATCAGTCTTCGACGCCGGCGAGATCCAGTCGGAGTTCGAAAACGCCGCCATCAACACCAAATTCATCCCACTGATATGGAAGCACCTTATTCACAACCCCGACGCCGAATTCGACCAAGTCCCCTCCTTGCCCTCCTCGGCCTACCTTCTTCTCCGCTCCAAGTTCAAGCTTCTCACCTCCGCTCTCCACTCCCCTACCGACTCCTCCGACGGCGTCACCACCAAGCTCCTCATCAAGCTCCAGGTTTGAAGGCTTCGCATTTTTTTTTAATAATGAAACGCACACAATCTGTTTGATGAAATGCCAGTGTGAGAAATTCGTGTTTGGTTTCGGCAGAGCGGAGCTCTCGTGGAGGCGGTGATAATGCGGTACGACACTCGGTTGGGAAAATACGCCGGGAAGCCTCGGCCGGGCGGTCCCAGAGCGACCTTGTGCATATCATCTCAGGTGTCGTTTGTTTGTTGTATTTTCATGGTTGTAATGCAATGCGTATTTGTTTTGTCTTTCAAATGGCGGTTTTCGTGATTTATAATGGTTGTTTGCTTACAGGTTGGCTGCAAGATGGGTTGCAAGTTCTGTGCCACTGGGAGCATGGGGTTTAAGAGCCATTTGACGTCGGGGGAAATCGTCGAGCAGTTGGTTCATGCGTCTCGCTTAGCGCCTATACGCAACGTCGTTTTTATGGTATTTGGACTGTATGATTGTTTCTTTTGAGTAGTTATTTTGTGATGTTTGTTGTAGTGTGGTTGTGGAGGGTAAAGGGTGGTCAAGTTATTGAGTGTTTTGACGTCAATTTTAATCAGCTTCGAGGGAACCAAGTTTTTAAAGAGAAACCTGATGGAAAAAGATCAAACATCATGGTGGGCGTAGCCTTGATTGAGCTGAATTATTCGAAATCTTTGTGTCTTTTTTGCTTTTGTTTTTCATTCTGCATGTTTGTTCCTCGTGGAATTGAAACAGGAAAAATGTAAGTATTGGAGAAGAGTGAATATGTGAATTCCTTAAAATCCTTGTGTCCGCTTTTTACTTTGAATTTCATTCTACATGTTTGTTGTTGCTGATCTTTTTAAATTAGGTTTCGCTTTAAAAACTTAATCCCACTTGAGGTTGATGAAAATTGAGGTCAACAAAGTACAATATAACATGATTATTATGACTCAATTTTGTCTAAAATATTTGGACAACTTGGCTTGTGAAATCAGATGGGGGAGAAAACGTGTTTTTGGAGTAATGCTCTCTTGGAGCATTCGCCTTTATTCAGACATTCAATTATAATCTTTTGGTTTCCACTTGATGTTTCTGCACTTAGTTTTTGTTCTTTAATCTTTTGGTCAGGGAATGGGGGAACCATTAAATAACTATTCTGCTTTAGTGGAAGCAGTTCATGTCATGACTGGATCACCATTTCAGTTGTCACCAAAAAGAATAACTGTATCAACGGTATGCTTAACAAAATGATTCTCATGTCTTAATTCTGTACTTTCCATGGAATATTTCGTTTCTGGGGTTTTTTTTGTATTGGGCTTCCAATTCATGAATAAGATGTGAGTCTTCGCAGGTTGGCATAGTTCATGCTATCAACAAGCTTCATAGTGATCTTCCTGGTCTGAACCTAGCAGTTTCACTGCACGCACCAGTTCAAGATATTCGTTGCCAGATCATGCCTGCGGCTCGGGCATTTCCTTTGGCAAAACTGATGGATGCACTGCAAGAATATCAAAGGAAAAGGTTTGATGGACCATTTTTTTTTCTAAAGAAATACGCATGCTAAAATTCTTTGCAGTAATACTTTTGAGCAGTCATTTGAGATTCCTAGAATATCTCACTTTGGTCTCTGATTCTTCAGCCAACAAAAGATCTTAATCGAGTACATAATGCTTGATGGGGTGAATGATGAGGAGCAACACGCACATCAACTTGGCAAGTTGCTAGAGACACTTGAAGTGGTGAGATCTTGAAACATGAACCAAAAGCATAGGTCAAAACTTCCATCATGCATTTTGTGTGGGTGCATCTATGTCTTTGAATCGTCATCTTTGCTTGGACCCTGCTTGTATAAACTTATATTTATATGCAATTCTGTCAGTTAATTTGACTACTCTTCTTAACCTTTCGCGTTATAATATCTATTGTCAAACAGGTTGTGAACTTAATACCATTCAATCCAATCGGTTCACTGAGTCAATTCAGAACCAGCAGCGAACAGAACACATCCAGCTTCCAGAAAACTCTAAGAGGTACCTACAACATCCGCACAACAATCCGTAAACAAATGGGTCAAGATATAAGCGGGGCATGTGGTCAGCTGGTGGTGTCTCAATCCGATAAGAGGTCCGTCGAGAATCCACTCCTAGTGGACATAGAAGATCTTCGGGTGAGATAGTCCATCCTCAATTTTGGAGGGGTAGTACTGACATCAAATTGTGGTCAAAATAGTCATGAAGATTTCACATTGGTTAGAATTTGAGTTATTTTTCCAAGTTGCAGTTCCCTTCAACTTTTGTGTATGAGTTTTAGTAGTTCTAGGTCGTGCACTTGTAATATTCCAAAGTATTTTAGGTGTAAGTTGCATTCCGAGAACATATTATTTTCAATATAACTAAAATTTTTCCTTAGCTTCACAAACTGTGCATGCGTGCAAAATGGATCATAACCAGAGACTTTAAAGTATTTTACTTGTGCAACAGAGATGGATTGCTTAGCTAAGGAAAACAGGAGAGGGAGGGATGGGGTGTGGTTATTTGCAAGAACTTACTGAAACCATCATTTGGGCTCATAATAAATTCTCTAAATTAAAAGTTGCTTCTAATATTTAGCCTAGAGTCTTTGGACAATGACCGAAGGATGTGTTGCGCAAGTAACTCATTAGTTCCTGGGTGGAACTGCCACAACATGAATATTCTTCTTAGCAAGAATTATTGCAGTGGGATAACAATGGCTGGGATGATTTGAAAGGCATTGTGGCATTAAGATTTTTAACATCGTATTTGGTTTGATATCACATGATTTCGAGTCATGATTGTATTACTAAGAACCATTTTATCGGTAATATTTTTCCTTCTCAATTGTTTTTGCCTTTTCCTCCCTTGACTAGTAATTGCTTCCAATTTAGCTGTGCCTTTAGAATACTTTCTTCCCTCATTTCCTTCTTTTTTTCCTCTCGTTAACAAAGGAACTGCTTTTTTGCCGAATTAACAAAGGAACTGCTCAACACCTAATAGTGACAAGCAGTCAGAAAGAGTTTCCCGCATTAACAGTCTTGGAATCAAATTATGGATGTAACAAGCAGTCATTTCTTGACAATTTGACAACATTTTATCCATTAAACCAGCATGCCAAACAAGCAAGATCTGTAACAAAAGCAATTAAATAGACATTGTGTATTTGTACTGGAAAGCGGTAATGCTTGTGAGCGCGTTTCAACACAAACCACAAATGAAACAAAAGGTACCTCATACACTGACCCAAAACGAAAGCTCTACCCGATTTCATAGCGGACTATGAAGCCAAAAGTGCTTCCACCTTTGCTATTTGGTCCTCTTCATTTTTGGGGGTCGGACTCCTATTTGCCTCGTGATATAAATCGTGCTTCCATTTCTCGACATGAGTGCCACTAGAATGGAATCCAGACCTTCCACTGAATCTATCTCTTCCCCTATAGTTTCTATCACCACTGCCACCACCACGATACCTTTCTCTAGAAGAAAAGGCATCTCTCTGTGGCTCCCTTCTGTTTGGTGCCCTGTCTCCTGCAAATGGTTTATCAGATCTATCCAAATGGTGGGCATTGTAGCCTCTTTCCTCCTTTCCACTTCCTTCAGCGGCACGGTTAGAATGGGCAGGTTTTACAGTCTCTGTTGCTGCTCCATCAGCATTTTCAGATTTCACCTTGATCTTCTTCTCTCTAAATGCCGGCCTTTTCCTTACAGGCGGATCGTCAGCCTGCATTTCAAAAAAAGCATCATGGCGCCAGCTGCCCTTTTCATCTTTGGCTCTATCATCTCTCCTCCCCGTGTCATTAGTTGCTGTCTTGTTTTCAGTCATTTCATTATGCTGATCCCTTGAATCCCTCCACCATCCACGTTCTAAAGTCCATAGAGATAGGGAAGAAAACATATCAAACAGAGAAACATAATTGACTTTCCAACAGGAATATGCATTCATGGAAGATTACAAGTGAAAAAAGCAATTAAAAACTTGAAGCCTAAGGAATGAAGAAAATGATTTTGAAAGGAATCTCACCACCAGTTGCACCTCTACCCGAGCTTCGGCCAACTTGCATGGAATTACCACGCTCATCATGCTGTTATAAGACATGGACAGGCAAGCCTAAGATTGTTATATACACAGAAGCACTTTAAGGCACGGGGCTGAACAACAGTCCCAGAACATCAGCCCAGGAAAAAAGTAAAAGAAAAAAGGTTCAAACGAGAATACTGGTTTTTAGTGGAGGGATTTATCATATTTAGCTTAATTCAAACCTTATAATATAGCAATGTTAAAAAAATTCACATTGTTTCACTTATCAAATAAAGAACCTACACGCACACTGCACACACAGAATCGTGCATAACTTGTCTAATATTGTGAGTCTCATGTAAAAGCTACTTTCTATTGTGTAATAGTTTCTTCCTCATTTGTTTGTTTCCACCTCTAAGTTTCTTATCCAAAAGTGTTTCACATTATGAGAAGGCTTAGACAAACCAACCAATAAAAGTAATAACTACACAAAAGGTACAACTATAAATCTCCAAATTTCTTCAGGCTATCACCGCGCTCGAGTGTTAGCAACTGGCCATTCCTGAATGAACACAAATTACCTACAAAATGCAATTAATTACTCATTCAGATAGTTCTGCCTACAAGCTAATTGTAAAATTCATATTACTTATGATAATATCTGCATTTTACGTGTGCCAAAAATGTAAAAGTTCATTTTTACCTTAAGACTACTTAGATCTTAAGGTAATATGAAGATCGAATACCATTTCATCGGTTTGCAAGCAAGCTAAACAAGACTAATCATACAAAAACATAAACAACACCTGAAAATATGACCGGGATCGGGATGCTTCAGATGGATTAGAAGAATGCTTTGTCCCTTCATGTCGTCCGCTGGATTTTCTGTCGGGCTCATTGCTTGGAGCCCCTCTTTCTAGCTTTGAATCAGTCGCTAATGGGGTTTCAAGCGGCAACCCACCATCTTGCGCGCGGCGACCATGCTTTTGGTCTTGGTCCGTTTGGTTCCTACTATCCAAACTATTATTACGGCTGGGTACTCTCTCTGGTGCTGGTTTTCCATCCCTCCTAGACCTCTTGGGACTATGACCAACCATACACAAATATAAACCAAACCATATTAAATTTGAAATCTCCATTAATTGTCAAATGCTAGTTAAAGACATGGCACACTTATTCTAGCTATAACAATACTTTAAGTTTTTGATTTGCAGATGAAACATGAATCTGTCTATTAAAACATTAAAAAAAAAATTAAAAAAAATTAAAAAAAAAAACCACATTTATTTGTAGGTTTTACCATTAAAAAAAACTGAAAAGCTGTGGTTTATATCTTCCAAGGTTTATTTGACTTGCTCTCGTTGCTAAATTAAAAAGAAAAAAGAAAGAAAAAAGCTTCATTTCAAGGAAAATACAAAATTGACTCGTTTGTGTGTCTACAGCGATGGAACATAGCGAACAAATTGAAGCAATGTTCTTCAATATTAATGAAAATAAGTTGGAATCAAAAAGGCATTTTGGTCAATAAATATCTCAAAACTCATTTCCAGTCTTTTAATGAGTCTAATACACAGACACAAAGGCGATTACACATAATAAATAGATTAAGAAAGAGAAGTCGCACCTTGGCTCCCTATCGAACCTAGAACGGTGCCGTTTCGAGTCAGAATCCCGACCCTCCCGACGCGACGACATTGGTGAACGACCGCGACTCTGCCACTCCAGGTTGAGTAGAGAGAGAAAGAGGATGAGAGAGAGAGAGAGAGAGAGAGAGAGGGAAAAGGGCAAACTACTAGGGCTGACTTGAACTTTGGGATATTTCTAAGAGAACCATATGATCTCCTAATTCTTGCCCGCTTGCCGTTAGGCTAAGTTATGTGATCTTGCCACGTAGGATAATTTGATTTGAATATGCAGTTATTGCCTCGTTCATTTTACCGATTCGAGTTTTCAGTTTTAAGTTTCTACAGTAAAAAACTCTCAAAAAATGTCACATCTAACTTTTTCTGCTACAGTGAAAAGCTCTCTGAAAATGTCACATCTCAGCTCGAATTGAAAACTCGAATTCACGAAGTGAACGAGGCAATATATGTGTAAATCTTAAATTTTGATTTGAGTTTGAGTTATAATTTCAGTTGAAGTTGTAACTTAGGGTTTGTTCTTTTGGAGTTTAACTTGAGTATAATTCTTGAGTTGAATTTGAGTTGAACTTGTAACTTGAGTTTGTGTTTGGTTGTGTACATTTAAGTTATGGTTTGAGATAAGAATCTTTTTGAGTTTGTGTTTGAGTGAGTCAAAACTTGAATTTGTATTTAGATAGTATTTTAATAAAAACTCAATGCTGATGAAAAATTTTAATAGGGTATATGGGTCGGGTTTTATTCGTCTTTTCGTTGTTAACGCATAGAAAAAAAATCATCTTAATCAGAATTAAAACGAAAAAGTTATAGCATTTTTAAGAATAGAAAAAATATTGTTCATTAATTTGAGTTTGAGTTTCTGAACTCGAGTTGAAGAGGAAACTTGAACTCGAGTTTTAGTCCTAAACTCGAGTTTGAACTCGAGTTTAAACTTAAAAGAACATGAACTCGAATAAAGTTGTAATTCGAGTTGCCTTTTTTTGAGTTTTTCACTCAAAAGAACAAGCCCTTAAATGTGTGTTTAGTTGTGTACATTTAAGTTATGGTTTGAGATAAGAATCTTTTTAAATTTGTGTTTAAGTGAGTCAAAACTTGAATTTGTATTTAGATAGTATTTTAATAAAAACTCAATGCTGATAGAAAATTTTAATAGGGTATATGGGTGAGGTTTTATTCGTCTTTTCGTTGTCAATACATAGAAAAAAAATCATCTCAATCAGAATTAAAACGAAAAAGTTATAGCATTTTTAAGAATAGAAAAAATATTGTTCATTAATTTAAGTTCGAGTTTCTGAACTCGAGTTAAAGGAGAAACTTGAACTCGAGTTTTAGTCTCAAACTCGAGTTCAAACTTGAGTTCGAACTTAAAAGAACATGAACTTAAATAAAGTTGTAACTCGAGTTGCTTTTTTTGAGTTTTTGACTAAAAAAAGGGGTTGCCGAATAGCCCCTGAGTTTCACTTATTTAAGTTTAGAATTCGAATTTTGTTACAGTAAAAAGCTTTCATAGATAGTCATATTTAATTTTTTACTACAGTAAAAAGCTCTCACACAAAGTCACATCTTAACTCGAATTAAAAACTCAAATCAGCGAACTAAACGGGTCTTAAATATGCAATTTTTATTTTATCTTATTTTATTTTTTTGCTAAAAAGAAAATAAATCAGCGAACTAAACGGGTCTTGAATATGCAATTTTTATTTTATCTTATTTTATTTTTTTGCTAAAAAGAAAATCTGATTGTTTTGATTTAAGTGAGTTCGAGTATAGAGGTGTTTTTTCAATAATGAGTTTGATTAACATTTTTGGATAATTAATCTTTTTTTATGCCATTTTAATTTAGTTTTAATTTTAAAATGACTGTCACGTCAATAGTTCCGTCTTAAGATTATAGATAGACTTGAATGGAGGGGGCATTTTGCATTTTTTTTTTTTTTTATATATAAGGGTATTTTGAACTGTTTTGATAAATCATGACACATTTTAAAACATAGTACATAAGTCGGAGGTATTTATAAAAATAATTCGTATATATTATGGTCAATTTTTTTTTCGTATAGTGCAAAATCAGAACAATTTATACAGCCATATTGTACTAGTATTAATTACTTATTTGGCGTGACACTTATTATTCACTCACTCGAGTGAAACATAACATATAATTTTTTCACATTATTTCCAGACCCTTAAATCATCTCTCACTCAAGAGCCAAGAAAAAGATTTGAATTTCCTGGGAAAAGACCAGCTGCATATGTGAGAGCACAGCACAAATACAAGGGAACGAGCATTGCTGTTCAATTCGACGCTAGACGACATAGGCACATAATTTACAGGGGTTATTGATTGATTTTGTAAGTACTTCTGCTAATTAATCTTTGGTTTACTATGCTAATCTTGGTTTACTTATGTTGCGTTTTTTCTGGCTCTAATTTCCACGTGAAATATTTGCCGTGTTTAAAATTTTTCTTATTTTTGTTTTTCACATTTTTTGAGAAAAAAATAAAAACGATTTCAAAACGTCTTTTGACACAATTAATTAAAGGTAAAAACAGAAATAAAAATAATTTTTTAGTTTAGTATAAAATGAGAGAAAAATGAAAAACGACTTTTAGTCGTTTTTTATTTTTTATTTTCGCTTTCTCCTCTCTCGAACAGAGAAATAGAGATATTAATGAGTTTTTTTATACTGAAAATAATCTTTTGATAAAACTACCAAACACATTTTTTAAAATGATTTATGTCTGAGATTAAAAATATTTTTATTTCTGTTGACGGTGTTTTTCCGCCAACTCGTGATTAACTCTCCAGGAACGACACGCGTTTGCACTTACGGTCTAATTAAGGATTAATGCACAAAAATAACACACGGGAGACAAGAGTTTTATAGTGGTTCGGCAATAACTCTTTGCCTAATCCACTTGTGCATGCACTAATATTTCAGTCGGTTACAAATTCTCTCCCCTCTGATCATGAAAAATGGTGTCTAACCCTTTTCTGGGTCATTTTTACACTATTTATAGGCAATTACTAATGACTAAGCCTTCTCTGTTCCCAATGAGGAAGCCATCTCCCATCCTCGATAGTCGGGAGGGTAGGTGGGTTTTAATGATGAAAAACTCAGGAAATGCGGCTGATCCCTCTCATCTGCTGCACGATCCACTGACTCCTGCAGTAACCGTTGGATTGATGCTTCTTTTCCCGAGTTGACAAGACCGTTGATGGGCTTGGCTCGGCAGTATCTCTCGACGCCGTGGCTATTGGAGGTCGAGCATCTATCCTCCGCGCCTTCCTTCACGTCCTATCTCTCGGCGTAGAGGGCGCCTTAGCTACTTCCACTCCTTTTATGCCCGCGGCCGAGCCGGGACGGGGATTCCTCGGCGCCTAGTGTCGAGAGCACGGTCGATCCCTCGGCCATGGTGTAACAATTTCCATTTTCATACAAAAAATAAAATTATTTTAGAACGAATTCCTAACGCACCCATTGTGATTACAGATTTCAGCAGACCTTGCTACCCTGACCACAGTTCTCTCTCTGGTCATTAAAATACTAAGAGTCCGTTTGGTTCATGGATTAGAACCATGTGATTATAACTATTTTCAATTTACGCGTATTTTTTGTGAGAGAAAATACTGTAGCGAACCACGAATCATGATTCGAATCAGGGAACGAATCCCTCTACCAAACATCACCTAATTTGATGTATTTTTCACAAGTGAAAGATGCGTCTTTTTTGTCCTCATTGTGCATCCTAGTCATTGCCATGCTTTTTTTAACAATATAATGGCTTTTGATCATTTGAAAATAACTTGCTTATCCACATTCCATTTCAAGATTCGGTGTCCACCCCATCGAAATGTTGTCTTAGCCATGCGAACCGATCTGAATGAAAGCCCGGAAATTAAATTTTTGGCGAGCATTGGCACGCCATGCTTTACATTTGGCATGCAGGGAACGTTGGGAATCACTCCAACAATGACGCGGAGGAAGCGGGGGTTGGAGGGGGGGGCCATGGCCCCCTCTAGATTTTTTTCTCCTTTATTTTTAATATTGTGGTTTTAATTTTAATATAGTAGGTATGTGTATAAATTTAACTTGGTCTCCCTTAAATGAATAGTTCTCTACATTTTAAATAAAAACTTACATATATATATATACATGTTAGTATAATTTTAATAAAAAAAAAAATTTATCTTTCTACTAATAAATTTTGACTCCGTCACTGCTCCAAGAGGCTGTTTTACAGTGTGGGTCCTGTGGGATGCTGTTATTCAAGTTACAAAGCCCTCTTGGGATGCTTCCATAACTGTAGAGTTTGAACTTTCTTTCCTTTTTGAAGATATTGAATTCGGGATCGGAGACTTGAACTGTAGATTCCCAACATTAGAAGTAGTTGTGGAAGTATCACTACTAAAGTCAATATATCAATACTTTTCTTGCCTTACTAGCATCATAACCTTCTAAAAGTTATTTTGTTTTATTTTTCCTTTTTCAGGCCAGACATACCGAATAAAGCTTAATCTCCCACAACAAAGGTGAGTGGCTAAGAGCATCATATGTTCATTATCTTGGAGATTTGAAGAAGATTTCGATGGCGGCGGAGATGACCCGATTCATTTTTGGCTTTCTATGCTCACACTGAGGACATAATTCTTCATTTTCCATTCTCCCAAGAGATATTCTTTTGAAATATTACTACAGTAGTTTTCTTTTATTTAATCAATGTTTCTGTTTCTCCAAAAGTTCAAGTTACATTCTTTTATTTTTTCTGTACAACCTTGTAATTAACATCCATCCACAAGTATTCAGTCTTTCTTTTTAACTTTATTTTATTTATTTTCATTTTGTCTTTGTTTGAAAATCAGTGAACCAACCACACACAAGGAAGTTGTAATATATTAAACCATTTTTAATGTAAAATGTCAATATGAATATCAAATAGTACACACAAAAACTTTAAAAATAACACATTGTTCTACTTGGCACTCCAATACATTATGTTAGTTTAAATGCTATATTCATTTTGGTGCTTTCGAATTTGTAAAAGAAAATTTAAAATTTTTGAAAACTAAAAAATGGCTATATTGTGATCAATAAGTGATAAACGTCGACACATTAGTGTTGTGAAAATTCGATCAAACACCAGAAAACCAGAAGAACTTTATTAATCAAGAATGACT